GGCTTACACGCATCAGAATGAGACTTCGCCGTCCTGCGACCTCCTAAACTGTCGTCAGTATCGTGGGATCCTCGGAGGCCCAGCGGGGGGTGCCTTCCGCGCATCAGAATCAGACTTGGCCGCCCCTGGGGGCTGCGAGCTGCTAAGCTGTCGCCCCTTCCGTAGGCTCCTGGGAGGTCCGGCGGAGGGGTGTATGTACTACGCGCATCATTAGAATGAGACTTCGCCGCCTCTTGGGGCTGTGAGCCTGGCAACCTTCGCCACTTTCGTGGGCTCCTGGGGGACCCATCGGAGGGGTGTACTACGCGCATCAGAATGAGACTTCGCCATCCCTGGGGGCAGCTGCTAAGTTGTCTCCACTTTCGTGAGCTCTTGGGATGTCGAGCGGAGGGGTGGTACGCGCATCAGAGTGAGACCTCGCCGTCCCTTGGGAGCTGCGAGTGGCTAAACTGTCGCCACTTTCGTGGGCTCCTCGGAAAACCAGCAGAGGGGTGTCACGCGCATCAGAGTGAGACCTCTCCGTCCCTTGGGATCTGCGAGTGGCTAAACTGGTGCCATTTTCGTGGGCTCTCGGGAGGCCCATCGGAGGGGTGTTTTGCGCGCATAAGAATGGAACCGTGCCGTCCCTGTGGGCTGCGAACTGGCAACTGGTGCCACTTTCGTGGGCTCTCGGGAGGCCCAGCGGAGCGGTGCCCCACACAGACCCAGGCTAGATTTCGCGGCGCCCTGGGGGGGCCCTTTCTGTGGGCTCCTGCGAGGTCCAGCGGAGTGGTGCCCCACGCAGACCCAGGCTAGACGTCGAGGCGTCCGGGGGGGCTGCGAACTGCTAAACTCTTGCCACTCTCGTGGGCGACGCTGTTCTGTAACTTGAATGTAGCACGCGGCGCTGCTTTTCACTGATCTTTCGCCCAGTTCTCCCTCATCTCTATGTTTATGCCATCGTCGCGTCTGTTCCCTCGTTTGCGCGTGGTCGCCGTCCTGCCTACGATGTAAACCGCTGGATTGACGATGCGGATAGGGAACGCTTGTTAGTGTCTCGACATTCTTTAAATGGAAGCTAGACAAAGTGGCCGGGGCCGGCCCTTCTACTCTTGCCAGCCCCGCCGGTCAGTTTCTTTGTGTTTCTTCCAGCCCTGGCAACTGCACCCCCCCTACTGTTTCGGGCTCGTTTCACCCACTGCTCAGTATCGTTTAACCGATCCCCATCCCGATCCCCATCCAGACCCCCACCATCTCATCCCCCCAGTTGGGGATATGCCCTTCGAAATCTTACAGAAACTGCCTATATCCCCATCTATGGGGGTAAACTGGCCAGTGGGGCCCAGGCCACGCGAGTGGGGATAGGGATCGGTTAAACGATGCTCAACTGCCAGATTTTCCAACTTCCACTTTTTCCAGCTTCCCTGCAGCGAGGCGTTCAGACAAACATACTGCGGGTCCTCGAAGGTTCATCTGTTGTATGGGGCGGTCCTGGGTATCCTGGGTTTCTTCATACACGTGGGGGGGGGGTACCCCCCCGACGGGGGTCAACCTCGCCTCGTCGTCGCGCTGCGACGGGGGTCGGAGCGCCTTCGGCGCGCGGTGGCTGCCCGCGACGGGGGTCGATGTGGCGCTGTCGGCGGGGGTGACGCCCCCCCACGCTTATGAAGAAACTCGGAGTGCAGTTCTGGAGCCGCCTGGCGCCTGCGGAGTCCGTCTTGGGGTGGAGGCCTCTCTGGGCAGTCTCGGGGCCCTCTCGAGGCCCTTCGGGGGGCCACACTGGGCGTCTCTTGCTTGGGCCGTCTTGGGGCTGTCTCGGGTCGAAGATCGGCGGCGAGCGAGAGGGGGAAGTGAAGTGAAAGTGAAGTGAGGAAGAGAAGGCTTTATCAGAGGGCGGCGGGACTTCTCAGAAGCCCTCGCGCCGTCTGAGAAGTCTTCTCTGTCTCCAGGGAAGGCTCGGAGAGCTTCTCAGAAGTGGACTTCCGAGCCTTCTGAGAAGGCCCGCCCCTTCTCACTTCCCCCCTCGGCTCGCCGCCGAGTCTTGGGTCGAAGAAGAACACGCGCCATAAGCATACACTTTTGGCGCTCCGCGCAGATTTCTTGGATCCGCGCTGGGGCCCCCTGGCGGAGCCCCCGGCGCCGCCACTGGCGCCGCCCCTGGCTCGCTCCGCGCGCCAGGGAGTAGGGTCCAGCGCAGATCCAAGAAATCTGCGCGGAGCGCTGAAGGTTTGTGTTCATTGCGCTTTTTTTCTTCTTCTATCGGGGTCGTTCTGGAGGCCTTGTGGACCATCTTGGGATCCTCTCGGACCGTCTTGAGTTGTGGAGGACGACCAATGGAGAGGAAGCAGGCTGCCAAATACTTTCCATATGTCTAAAACAGGTTCCAAACATGTTTTAAATATGTACAAACATGTTTGACACATAAACACATGTTTCATTCAGTGATAGGATTGTTAGAGTGCCCATTGTCATGGCATCCACAAGTCTTGAGGCCATCGGCTGACGGATGCCCGAAAAGGCGAGAACTAACCTCCGCGAAGCATTGCCAGGGGAATCCATGCCTCTGACCTCGTCGGGCCTTCCCAGAGGCCCCTCCGAGCCTCTTCGGGCCATGCTGAGGCGTCAGAGAGACCGAACGTGCGGAAACTTTGGGGCAGCGTGCCGGGGCGACGGCCCATGCGACACGCCGGCCGCCTTGCAGGCGGCCACAGCGCGCCGCTCTCCGCTCGGCGGGGCGGGAGGCTGGGAGCCAGCTCGGGGCGCTGACGCCGACGGGCCAGGATGGGCGGCGAGCGATGGGGGCACGATCGCCGTCGTGCTCTCGCGCCGCTGCCCTCTGGCCCCTTCGAGCCTCTTTGGGCCCCATGCTGGGGGCCTCGTGGGCCGTCCTGAGGCCACTTTGGGCTGCCTCGGGGCCTTCTTGGCGGCCCTGCTGGCCTGCCTTGGGGCCGTCCTGGGAGCCACCTCGGAGCTCCCTGCCGGAAGCCTTGGAGGGCCCGAGGGAGGCTCCGCGCGGAGCGCCCAGGGAGCTCAGGGAGGGGGGGGGGTCGTTACATGCCACGAGGCCGAAGTCGGGCCTGTCCCTCTGCAGGAGAACTATCCCCGCACAGTCAAACAATAGTCAGGGGACGATTTTTTTGTGTAACAAGTGTTTATTTTTTGTCAATGTTTGGGCATTTTTGCGCATTTGTAATTTTTCGTCGAACATCTGCCTGTGGGGGGCCACGCCCGACTTAACACGAGGCGCTGGGAGAGGGGCCATGCGCATTTCGTCTCCTCCGATTCGCCGCGGCTTCGATCACCCCCTATTGCGGTTCGACTTGACTGCGGGCTCCGATGCGGATCCCGATGTCTCCATGGGAGGCCTGCTGGCCTGCCGATCTTTCCGCCGATTCGATCTCTCCCGACTCGGCTGCTGACTTCCCGCCGAGCCGATTCACTCCGACCGCCGATCCGACTCGTCGATTCGATCTCGGTCTCTCCTGGAGGGGGAGGCTCGAGGCACGGTTCCGAAACGCTGCGCACGAGCATTCTTGGCATCCTGCCGCCGCGCCTCGGCGTGCCAGGGGGGGCACCGTGGCGGATTGCCGAATCCTCACGCTCTCGTGGTGACTCTGTGGCGCGGGGCGAACGCCTTGATCCCAGCCGCTGCTCCCGAGACCTCCGTCGGGCCTGTCCCTCTGCAGGGGGAATGCTCAACAACTAGTTGAAACATTAGTCCGGTGTCGACCTTTGGCGCAGTGTTGGACCATTCTGGGGATATTTTTTCAACTGTTATAGCATCCTTTATTTTTCGCCCAAAATCCCCCTGGGGGGGGACAGGCCCGACCTGCGCCTCGATCCCAGCCGCTGCTCCCAAGACCCCCCCCAGTTCCCCCCCCCCCCGCGCCCCACCGGAGCGCGCTGGGCACGTCCAGGAGCCCAGAGCCTCCGGAGCTTCCGTGCACCTCCCCCAGGGCCAGGGCGCGCTCCGACTCTCCTCCCTCTTCGCTTCGACTCGACTTCCACGGCCTTCCGCTTCCGAGTCGACCCGACTTCGGATCCCGATGTGGATTCCGATCTCCCAGTTGAGGCACAGCAGCCTGCCGATCTCCGCCGGCTCGACTTCTCCCGACGTGGCTGCCGATCTCCCCCGGCCCGATTCATCTCGATCGCTGGTCCGATTCGTCGATTCGATTCTGGGCTCTTCTGCAGGGCTTCCAGGAATCTTCCTCCAGCTTCCAAGATAGCAAAAGGCGCCTCAACGATAAGATGCATCCGACCTCCGATGGACGTTGGGGCAGGCGGTTCCTGGATTGGCACCCGTGGCACCACGTGCACGCCAAGCGACGCCCCGGACGGCAGCGAAAACGCTGGCAAGACTCCTGAGTGCACCAGTGAGCGGTGCGCGCGGCCCGCGTCATGCTGGGGCGGACTCGTCTGCCCTACGGGCCCTCTCTCGGTCCCTCTCTCTTTCCAAAGCGGGACCCAAACGGTGTTCTGGTGATTTCCTGGGCCGTTTTCGTTCCGACTTCGCTTTGCGGGAAAGGCGGATCCGAGACAGCAGCGAGGGACAACGAAAACAGCACGAAAACGAAACACACCGTTTGGGTTCAGCCCTGTCTCTCTCTCTCTCTATCTCGCTCTCTCCCTCTCTCGAGGAGCTCGAGGGCCCTCCAGAGAGCCTCCAGCATGCCCGCGGGCCAGCTTCCAGGAGTCCTCGAGGAGCTCCAGGGCCCCCCCAGAGAGCCTCCAGGCACGCCCGCGGGCCCAGCCGAGAGGCGTGCCCCTCGCGCCCCAGTCTCTCTCTCTCTCTCTCGCCGCCCCCCCGCGCCCCATTCGCTCGCCGCCCGGCGCGGCAGAGCGCCCCGTGGCGCCGGAGACCGACAGAGGGAGAGAGAGAGAGAGAGAGAGAGAGAGCGAGAGAGAGAGAGGGAGAGGGAGAAAGGACATGCTGGAGGACGAGGAGATCGGCGGGCTCGAGGACGAGGACGAGAGAGAGAGAGAGAGAGAGTGAAAGAGAGAGAGAGAGAGAGAGAAAGGACATGCTGGAGGACGAGGAGATCGGCGGGTTCGAGGACGAGTGGGCCGAGTGGGTCACGCTCTTCGAGCCCACCGGCTCGAGGCGCTCCCCTGGACAGTCGCCGCCTGCCAAACCACCCCAGCCCCACCCGAAGGCCCCGATGTGCCCTCCATTTCCAGTGGGTGTGTGTGTGTGCGTGTGTGTCGGGGAACACGGTGGAACACACAAATGAAGCCCGTACACCCCCCCAAACCCGAAATTCGGGTCTTCGGGCTGGGTTGGGGTGGTCTGGTTGGCAGTCAGACAAAAACCGCGGCGGAAGCTGCCCGTTGCCCTTCTGCTCTTCGGTCTCTGCTCTTCGGACCAGAGCGGCATACCCGGAGCGCGCTCCTCTCCCTCCCGTGGCCAGGCCGGGGGCAGGGGGAAGGGGGGAGGAGGAGGAGGAAGAGGAGGAGGAGGAGGAGGACGAGGAGGACGAGGAGGACGAGGAGGACGAGGAGGACGAGGAGGAGGAGGAGGAGGACGAGGAGGACGAGGAAGAGGAGGAGGAGGAGGCGGAGGAGGAGGAGGAGGAGGAGGAGGAGGACGAAGAGGACGAGGAGGCCGAGGAGGACGAGGAGGACGAGGAGGACGAGGAGGAGGACTGGTCTACCTTTCGGGGACCTTGGGACAGGTGTCAATGCACACGGGGGTCAGTCAGAGCTTCCCTCCTCCCGCGCGCTCCCCCCCATCCCGCCGCTCGTCGTGCCCGATTCGGCCACGTGCAGCCCACGGCTGCCTGTGGACGCGGCTGGGACTCCCGCCACAGTAAAAACGCTCTTCGGGCTCCAGTCTCTGGGAGCTCCTTGCCGGGCCCCGTGGCCGCCAAAGAGGGAGCCACTTTTAACCCACCCCATGGATAACGCATGTTGCCCCCCGCACCTTGCCCCCCCCCTGTGACGGTAACGCCCCGGCCCTGTCCAGTGCGCGATCTCGGGCAGTTCAGGGCTTGTGGTGCACGCGGGCATTACGGTGCCGCGGTGCACGCGGGCGTGCACCATGGTGTACGCAGGCACCGCGGTGTGTACCAGCGTTGTGGTGCACGCGACTGTCATTGCAGCAGCAGCTGTGGTGCACACATGCGTAGTGGGTGTACTCAAGCATTGTGGTGTACACATCACAAGCCTTGTGGTGTATACAGGCGCCGTGACGAACACAATCGCTGTAGTGCTTAAGGTCGCTATGATGTGCACGTGCGTTGTGGGCTATGATGTACCAACGCATCTCTTCCTACTTCTTCCTCCTTCTCCCTCTTCATTTTCGTCTCCCTCGTCGTCGACCTCCTTGCGCATACAGGACACGGGCATTGTGGTGTACACAAGCATCCTGGTGTACACAGGCCCTGTGGTGCACACAGGCGTTGTGTTTCACATTCGCTGTGGGCTCAAAATGTCCGAGCGCTCCTCGGGCCAGAAAAACTAATAATCACAATCAGATCACATATCGAATATGATACATTCGGGCCCCCAGCGATTTCCCCGACTTTGGCTCCGTCGGGGCCGTAGAGGTGTACACAAAGTTTGTGGTAAACGCAGGCACTGTGGTGCACACGGGGGGGTGCTGAAACAGCAGCTGTGGTGTCAATAACCACAGGCGCATTGCGGTGTATCTAGGTGTTCTCGTGCAGACGTCTTGCTGCCACCATGGCTCCCAGAGTGGGGGCTGGCGGGAACTGACGTGTCGATTGCGAGGACAGTCGTTGCCGTGTCGGCGCGGCCAAGGGCCGGCAGGAAGCCTCGCGACGACGGTGTCGTGCTGTTCCGCCTCTTGCTCTTCCTGGTGCGCCTCCTGCTGCGCCTCCCTCTCTGCTCTTCCTGCCTCCTGCCGAGTGTGTGCTCCGTTGGTATCTTCACGTGTACACGAGCTTTGTGGTGTGCGCAGGCACTGTGGTGCACAGGAGGTGCTGAAACAGCAGCTGTGGTGCAGACAGGCGCCGTGGTGTGCACAAACAGTGTGATGTACAAAGGCGCTGTGGTGCACACGGTTGTTATGGTGTGTACAGTCGCCGTGGTGCACACACGCATGCCATTTCTGCAGCAGTTCTGGTGCACAAAGGCATTGTGGTGTACAAAGCCCGTGTTCTGTGCACAGGCGCTGTGGGCTTGGACGACGACGACGGCGACGTAGGCGGTGCGCCTCGGGGGGGTGCGCGCCGCGGCCCCCGTTGCTGTAAACACCCCCTGGCCCCCCCCCAGGGCAGCATGCGTTATCGATAAGAAGTGTAAACATGGTCTCGAGCAGATCGGGACGAGCAGCCGTTCGCTCGGGGTGGGTCCAGGGGTCCGGGGGCCGACGTCCCGGACAGACATCGAGGCGCGGCGCTCTTTCCCCCTCCACCCTCCCTCCTCCACATCCTCCTCCTTCTCCGCCTCCTCCTCCTCTTTTCTTCCCCCCTCCTCCTCCTCGTCCTCCTCCTCCTCCTCCTCCTCCTCCTCCTCTCTCCCCCCCTCCTCCCCATTCCCCCGTTCATCCCCGTAGCCATTTTGGCCCAAGCCACTTCGGCGTGAGAGAGCCAGGCCGCGGCCCCTCTTCCCGTGCAGAGCGAGCTGGGGCGTCGCTTGACTGCGTTCGGATGAGCTCGTCGTCTGCCAGGCCGCCGCTCCGTGCAGGAGTGGCCCATGAAATCAAAGGAGGAAAAGGTACCCATACCTCTACCCTTTCCTCGCTTTCCCCTTTTCGGGCCTCCTCGGAGGCCCTCGTCGCCACCGTTGGATTCGCCTCGAAATTGTTGACGCTTCGCGTCTTCCCACCAGCCCATCCACAACCGATGCCCATGCGAAGTGTCCGATAAGGGAAGTCTGTAAGCATATGGAGAAACATAAATACACAAACACACGTATGGACACCTTGTCGTTGTGGAGCGTCTTGCGTGCGTGGCCAATCCAAGCATGATTCACAGGGGAGCTATTGTCAGTCTGAGGAGGAAGAAAGGGGCGAGCAGAAGAGCCATAAGCGTCTTGGAATGCCTCTCGGAGTCTCCTCGGAAGCTTTTATTGGAGGCTTCTTGAGGCGTCTGGGAGGGGCTTCTTGGCGGGCCCAGGGAGGTCTTTGAGCGTCTGGGGTGCCTCAGGGATCCTCTTGAGGTCTCTCGGGGGTCTCTTGTGAGCCTCTTAGAGGCGTCTTGGACGCCTCTTGGGGCCGTCTGGGCGTCTCTTTTGGCCCTCATGGGACGCATTTCGGAACCTTGGGAACGCTCTTGGAGCCATCTTGGAGGACATCGATCAAACAAGGAGGGTTCCCTAATTAGCCTTGCCCCTCGGGAGCCCCTAAAGTCGCCTCTTGGGGCGCTCATGGAGCGCTCTTGGGCGCTCTTGGGGTCGTCTTGGGGCTCTCTTGGGCCTCTCATGGGGCCCTCTTGGTCTATGTTGGAGTCATCTTGAAGCCTCGGAAGGCCATCGGAAGCGAAAATCCGGGAAACTCCAAAGCATTGTTTTTCCCTACCTAGGCTCTGCCCAGAAGGGTTCTTACTCTGTTAGCTAAAGGGGCCGGGCAATGGAAACCGCCCCGGGCGGTTCCCCCAGTCCCCGCCGCGCGGTTCCCCCAGTCCCCTGGGAGCTTTAGCCTTAGCTTTAGCTTTAGCTTAGCTTCAGCTTTAGCTTTAGCTTTAGCTTAGCTTTAGCTTAGCTTTAGCTTAGTGTTAGCTTAGCTTTAGCTTAGCTTTAGCTTAGCTTCAGCTTAGCTTCAGCTTAGTGTTAGCTTAGATTTAGCTTAGCTTTAGCTTAGCTTTAGCTTTAGCTTAGCTTAGCTTAGCTTTAGCTTAGCTTAGCTTTAGCTTAGCTTTTAGCTTAGCTTAGCTTAGCTTTAGCTTAGCTTTAGCTTTAGCTTAGCTTAGCTTAGCTTTAGCTTAGCTTAGCTTTTAGCTTAGCTTTAGCTTAGCTTTAGCTTAGCTTTAGCTTAGCTTTAGCTTAGCTTTAGCTTAGCTTTAGCTTAGCTTTAGCTTAGGCTAGCTTAGCTTAGCTTAGCTTTAGCTTAGCTTTAGCTTAGCTTTAGCTTAGCTTTAGCTTAGCTTCAGCTTAGCTTAGCTTAGCTTTAGCTTAGCTTTAGCTTAGCTTAGCTTAGCTTAGCTTAGCTTTAGCTTAGCTTTAGCAGCTTAGCTTTTAGCTTAGCTTTAGCTTCGCTTTAGCTTAGCTTTAGCTTAGCTTTAGCTTAGCTTTAGCTTATATTTAGCTTTAGCTTTAGCTCAGTTTTAGCTTAGCTTTAGCTTAGCTTTAGCTTAGCTTCAGCTTAGCTTTAGCTTAGTGTTAGCTTAGCCTTAGCTTAGCTTTAGCTTAGCTTTAGCTTAGCTTCAGCTTAGCTTCAGCTTAGCTTCAGCTTAGCTTTAGCTTAGCTAGTTTAGCTCTACTGTTACTACTAATGCTGCTTTCCTAGGGGCTCCAACTCCTTGGTAGGGTCGCACTGGGATAATTTTCCCTAGGTTTGAAAGATCGCGTTCTGTGGTCGCTTGGAGGGGGGGCGTTGGAACCGGCTCCCCCCCCCCTCCCGTGACGGAGGGGGGGTGGTTCAACCCCCCCCCCCCTCCCGTGACGGGGGGGGGGTTCAACCCCCCCCCCACCCCCCCTGCTTCCCCTCTCCTCGGGCCGGCGCTTGCGTCGGCGGCGGCTGGCGACGGCGGCGGGGACGACGATTTCCATTTCTGGGCCGGCGCCTGCGGCGGCGGTCGGCGGTGGCGGGGAGCGTCGACGAGGACGACGGTGGTGGTGGCGGTGGTGGTGGGTTGTGGTGGTAGTGCGGGTAGCGGTGGTGGTGGTTGTGGTGGTGGTGGTGGTGTGGTGGTTTGTTGTGGTGTGGTGATTGTGGCGGTGGGTGGTGGTGGTGGTGGTGGTGGTGGTGGTTGTTTGGTGGTGGTTTGTGGTGGTGGTGGTGGATTGTGGTGGTCATGGTGGTGGTTTGGTGGTGGCGTGGTGGTGGTTTGTGGTGGTTGTGGTGGTGGGTTGTGGTTGTGGCGGTGGTTTGTGGAGGTGGTGCTGGTGGTGGTGGTGGTGGTAGCGGTGGTGGTGGTGTGGTGGTTTGTGGTGGTGGTGGTGTGGTGGTTGTGGCAGGTGGGTGGTGGTGGTGGTGGTGGG